CTCGTCTGTCTTTGGTTAATTTCGTTTTATTTTGTTTTGTTTTTTTACTGGCACGTACTGCTGACCCTTGAGGTCCTTCCGGAAGGCTACCCCCCAGGCTGGTGGTGCGCACGTTCCACTATTTATTTATTTATTTATTTGTTTCTGATTCTTTTGTTTTCTTGTATTTTATCGCTCTGCTAACCCTTGGGGTCCATTTTATTTTGGTATACCTTTTCTAGGTACGTTAGCCTGTGACCACGGAAATTGACCGAGTCAAGTGCTGGATTAGTACGGAGAGATTGAGACAGAAGGAGGTACTGGAAAGAGAGGCCGGGATGGTTTTTAATGTGAAGACAACAACAACAACAACCGTAATAGTCTAGACTATCTATTCTAGACTATTATAGACTATGGTCTGTAGCGGGTGTGGATTTCTGTGCGTGGCACGACGTGCGCCCGCGCGGTTCGCTCCGAGGGGGGGATGCAGTCTTCGATGCAGGTAAAGGAGTACACGGCAGAAGTACAGCAGTACTGCTGTATACATGGTACACAGCAGTGTCAGTACCGGTACTAGTCCACACCATGTACAGCAGCAGCACCACCTTTCTTTCAGGTACAAAAAAGGCACAAGTGTCAGCAGTCTACAGCGCTCTAGTCTGTTCTGTATTTACTACACTGTAGCCTTCACTCCATGACGGGGTGTCAGGGACATGCTGCAAACAGTGTTGCAATTGTGATGCGTTCAGGGGTTTCCGAGGGCGAGAGGCACGGGAAAGCATGCGCGATCATTCGCTGAGTACTCATGGTGGTGCTATGTATATGCGTGTGTAGACTAGACTATGTAGTCTAGTCTATGCATACAGCGAGCTGGACAAATGGGGCGGGAAGCGACGACGTGTTACGAGAACAACAGCGCACTCTAGAATACTGCTGTGAGGACATTGCCCTGTAAGGCCACTCTCTCTCTCTCTAGGAGGCACTACCAGCACTTACCAGAACACCCTCGATTTGATTGATCCAGCGCCATGTCGCTCGTCACAAACGTGCTCTGAGTCCCCTGGCGCTCCCGCCGTGTGGCGTATCTTACGCTGTGTGGGTGATGGTCTACCAAATCCTGCACTCCGCTATTGTTGCTGCGAGTGTTGGCGTCGGCGCTTTAGCCCAACAAGACACGGTACAATAGGACATTTCTGACCAGTCGAACTCTTCCTCCTTCCACACACACCCTATGAAGGTCTGGGGACACTGAACGAGGAGGAGAGGGGAGAGGCTTCATACATTCGCGCTTTTCGGGCTTCAGCGGGTTTTTTTTTGTTAGCCCCTCCCTCCTGAGGACTCCTGTGACCCACGCCCGCATAGCTATGTAGCAACCCGGCCACTTTTCTCTCTCACGGATCCCTTCGGCATCGGTAAACGCGCGCGTCGCAAGCCCATCACGGTGTCCATCTGAAAGTTGTTGGTCTTTTGGATTCTACAATTAATTGAACGGGAGAAAAAACTTGGCGATCCGACAGGCTTGAATCCGATCTTTATTTTGCCTCTTTCCTACGAGGCACTTTTCCTAAGATCTGCAGCCAAGCTTGGTACTGCTGCTTAGTCTTGCTAGCGTCAACATCATCATCCTGGAATTTCTTTTCGTACAGTATGCCTGGTGGGCCGGTCTCCATCCGGGTGCTCTCTTCATTCCTCCCAGTCATGACACCGACGCAACATATCGGAGGAGCGGCAGTGTGAATGGATAGTTCAGGGGAGCGGGGGAGCTCCCGGAAAGCTTCTTGTCAGCATCGCATGAGTGGGTTTGTGGGCGTAAAAACCTCAGTATTCCCGCAGGGCACTCGGGGCTTTTTTCACTTTTCCACGTTGAACAAGCAGGTAGATGATCGGTTACACCCCCCTCCGCGACAGCCACACCATCAGGCAGGGTGAGCTGCTGACCGTCGGGGAATGCATGGTACACGTAAAAATCCGGACAGCGATACCGCGACGGGGGAGACTTAATATTATCCGTCGATGAGCAGCATGCAAAGAGAGCGCGAACGCGATCGGCAGCCAGGGGCATGGCCGTATACACAAACACAACGCCCCGGGGGGAAACAGAAGAACAACAAATATCTCTCCTGTGTGATCGGTGCCACCGTATCCACCGCCCCCGCACCCCCAAACTCGCCGCTGGAACTTCAACACTCGTCCTTGTTGGCACACTTCGTTCTTAGATATGACGCACCATACACTTGTGAACAACACACGACCAACGGATATCGCGGCGCCGGTCACCACCCAAAAGCTGCGCGTAAGAACAACCAGTCCACCTCTACACAAAAACAAAAACACAAATCTTCTACAGCCCTCACGCAAAATCGTTGAGTAAAGACCAAAGGCAACTACAGCAGTAATAGTTGGGGGTTCATTCCAGACGAAAGAGATGAAGCCACTCTCAGCGCAGCGAAGCAAAACAGGACAGAGAGCCGTGGCAAGGACGGCCGAACGTCCTGTGAACGAAGAAGCCCAAAATCAGGTCTGCTTCACCCTTGGGCACTCTCCTCCGCTCCACTGCCGGTACCGTTCAGTCTCCGCGGCACCATCTCAATCTCCTCCCCGGCACCGCCGCCGCCGTCGCCGCCGCCGTCCTCGTCATCTCTGTCCCCGCCGACCAATGGCCTTCTCTCCTGCTCCGTTCGCGCGAGCCCTCTAGCCCGCCCCCGCCCCCTAGCTCGAGCTCCGCCTCCAACGGCAGCGCCGCGAGTGCGGGGAATCCTATGTTCTTGCCCCTCTCCCCTGCTCCCTTCGCCGTCGTTTGACTCCTCCCCACCTGCTGCTGCTGCTGCTGCTGCTGCCCCTCCCGCATCGCCCCCCCCGTCCGGTCGATCGGGAACGGCATCTCCGTAAACACCGACGGAGGAGGCATTGGGCGGGATGAACAGGGACCACATCGGCGGCAACGCTGCACCCCAAGTTGGCCCTTTCGGTTGTCGTTGGCGGTGGCGGTGTAGAACAGACGTCGAAGGCGCAAAAGAGCGAGNCATCTTGTGCTTACTTCCTTGCGTACGGATGGCAGCTGCGTATGACTTATTCA